ATATTATAATATAAAAGAATTATATCAGAAAGCGAATATTAAATATTCAATATTTGTATACAAATAACACGTAAATAGGAACTAATTTAGAAGTGCAGTGCATTCGAATAGCGTGTTGATTGCATCAAAGATACGCATGAGGTGATTGAAACTAATTATCATTTTGAATGGTGAAAGAAATTTAAGATAGAGAAATTAAGATTTAAACAGGCAAACTGTGTCGAATCTAAAATTCTACATTACTATTCGTGGATAACCGGCATTAGGTAATCAAATTTTTTTTATCACTTCCTGAATTCTTAATATATTAGAAACTTTTAATATGTAAAATTTCTTTAACATGTAATTAGAGGCAAGATATCTCTTATTTTATATAACTTTTTTTAATATCTTGATTTACATTATGACATACGAAACAATTAAAATTTTCAAATTTTAATAGATTAAAAAATGAATTTTTTGATTATCAATTGATTTATTTTTTTTTTTTAACAATCAATGTAATATATCGAGATAAGTTTCAAATAGCAGATCGTAGAGGGTAATTACTTGATGAACTAGATCTTAGGTATCCGATAATTTTCTATTCTATTAAATTTGTAATAAATTCAGAAACAATTACTCATATCGCGAACTCGTTATCTTTATGAGAAGAGACTTTCATTGGAGTAGCAGTTATAGCTTTTTCTTCTTAATCGATAATCAAATTTGAAATTGATTACTCCGCTTTCCCTCTACAGGAAAAAATGTTTTTAGAAAACACTTTTTAATTTCGAACTTGAATACAGATTTTCATATACTTTACATTTTTTACACAAATTTCATATGTAGAAAAAATTCTATATGAATATCTTTCATATTATTTCTTATTTCTCAAAAAAATTGCTTTTTTTTTTTTATAAAATAACTAACTTCGTGAAATTTCTCACAGCAATAAGATTTGATTTCACAAAGATCTAATTCCCACACGCGCTCGTCACTGAGATCGCTCTCTCAGATAAGTCTCCGAGACGCGACGGATTATTGTCGACTGATTTCTGAAGTACTCACAGGAGCACGCTTCTTAACCACATGTCTGCACTGCACACAGTTCCCTTCCTCGACCAGCTCGCCGTTTCTCGTTCTGCTTTCGTCGTGAAACGCAAACAGCTGGTTCGGATTAACGAAACTCTTCTCGAATCAGTATGTACCCAGTATATCGGCACTTTCGAGAGAATATCAAGGTACTCTCTCTAGCAAATACTGCTAATGTTCTATATATGTATATATCGTCACCGGACACTCGCGATCATCTCTGCCTTCTTTTCGTGACCGGCACTCGTCCTCCAATTGCACGCCGATTGTGTTCACTGGACGAGAGTCGATCCTCCAGGATACGTGCGCTTCGTTCGACTCGTGACCTCCGTCCAGCTTTGTGACGCGACTTCGCCGACGAGGCGCGATACGAATGAACGAATGAACGAACGGCAAAGCGAACGCGCACCGATAGAGACGGAGAGAAAGAAAGATCAAGTATGAGAGTATGTATGTGTACGTGTGCGTGTGCACGCGAGAGAGACGGGAGAGAGGAAGAGATAGGGAGAGAGAAAGAGAAAGAGAGAGAGAGAGAGAGAGAAGAAAAAAAGTGGGAAAAGGGACAACTAAAGTAAAAGTAAGAGGTAGCCGAAGGACGTGGTGAGGGTATGAGAACGGTGGCGAATGCAGACCTCTACTTATACCGCCACCCACCACGGCCACTCGGAGTGCACCCCACCAGCCCATGAAAAGTGGACACTACGTAGTCGAACTCGACTCGACTCGGCTTGATACACTCGATCTATCACACCGGGGGCCACCGGGGACCCGAGAGATCCTGGCTGCACGTTCGCCTGGCGGCGTGTATCTCGGCCCAACTACCTGACTTCTCTCACGACGTCTGACCTAACTTCACGAAGTGACTGTTTTCTACTGAGTGTTCGAGAAGCTCGGTTCTCGCCGTCTTCTATTATCTCACGCCGAGAATTGAAAGCAACGCGCGACGACTCGAGACGATCTCTTCTAAAAATACGCGAGAATAACGACATATTTAGAAAGTGATTGATGCAAGTTTGAGATGCAATATTTGCGAGACTTTCAATCGCTCGTCGATCGTTTCCTCTTGCCGATTCTAAAATTTCTCTTTACCGTAAGGTAAAGTTAGTACTGCTGATGCAATCTTGCTCATGCAGCTCATCTTTGTTTCTCACTCTATTTAAATCTCTTCTTTAAACGTATGAGGGAATCTTCCATTCTCGCGCATCTCACGAAGATTTCGAGAACGTCTCGATTAAGACGGATGTTTTCGTAATATGCAATTTTGCCTGAGTCACTTCGAGTACATCGAAAAGGCGGTTCTCACATTAGAAATGCGGAGCCGATCGCGTCAAAGAGATCCTCGTAGAATGGTGACAAATAAGAAAAGGAGTACGAGACCGTGAAATGTAGAATTGCTCTTCGAGCATGTCTTTTTCCTCGCAGCGACAACCAGCGAAGCGCAATTCCGTCATGGATACCATCAAGAGTGAAACGTGCTTGAAAGGATCGATAATCTTTATTGGGGCCATTGCATAAGTCGCTGCAGCATCTTCACTTCCTCCTACACTTAACAAAGAAAGAACTCTTGGAGTTCTATCTTCGTCACGTTCAACTTTTATCGTCGTTCTTTGCGAAAGTTGCAAACTTTTTTCTCGACTGTTAACTTATCTTTCGACACAAGAGTAAATTTTTTTGTACTTTTTCATAATCTCTCGTTCTATTTAGCTACTTTATACGAGAAAGTCAAAATTGCAAAGTTGAGTGATTTCTATTTAATTACGTTGTCTCGACAAGTCGCGTTTCAAAATTCGATATATTATTTTAATTAATGTATTAAAGCAGAGTGAGACGAAAGCAGAGCGATATAAGAAAATTCAGCATTGAGATTTGATTCGTTAAGATCATCACGTTTGATTCAAAATAATCATTGACGAGAGATCGCGCGAGACTTTTCTAACAATAATTTGCAAAGATGGTGTGCGCCAATCGTCACCGTAGGTGTCAAGGCCCAGTGAAACCGACAGCGTATAAATTATCCAGCCCGAAGCGTCGCGCCAAGAACCAGAAGACAGTTGCGGCGTTAAAGGTCTTGGCGTCTCGTTGCGCAAGAAGAATGTCGTTCCATTCCAGGACCAGGGTATGATAATCGGGTGTGGAGAATATCGAATTACATTGATATGATCCGTATTTTCGGAGGAAATTTTATAAAAAACGACATATTTTAAACGAAAATCGGATGATCTTTTAAATCTCAAGTGTTTCCTATTTCGTTTAGCGAAGTAAAAAGATGGGGAACAAAAGTACGAGATTTTATTAGATTTCTTAACATGCACGTACATACAATTTTTTTAAACTTTTTGTTACAAATTCGACGATGTAACTCCAATTACTCACTATTTACTACTCATATAACAATTGTTCTCATTGGCTCTAGGAATTATTTTGCATTAATAACTTTTATTTATAAAGCAAAAAAATATATCTGAAAACACGAATTTCGAAGTGAGATCTTACATAAAAGCTATTTATAATTTCGTAATTTTATTTCGTCAAACTTTTTTTTTAAAAGAGATCGAAATTCTAAGACGTACGCCTTTCCATTTCTCAAAGGTGATAATTGACTAGATATAAATCACGTATCAAATCATCGACCAGATTCTTCAGTCGAGTGTTTCAACTGGTGCTTATATTCGCGAAGCCAGAAGACGGTTCGCAGTGATTCCTCGTAGGCGTATACGTGTACACGTGTAAGCGTATGCCAATGTGATACGTATATGCAATGCACGTGTAAGTCTCGTACATACATATGTATCTACGAGACTTTCTCTCGGCAAGGAGAGCACCCGTGCGCGCCCCTCGGATAGGCAGGCACGTGAAGAAACGCGAGAGAGAACAATGTCTTTTTTGCCGGACTATTAAACCGCGAATGGGGGTGACATAACGCGGGGTTCAATCGTCGGAACAAACGTCTTCGCCACGTAGGCGAAACGTAACGTTCGAATATTGCATTGTGCACCGAGTGGAACGCGAGACGTCGCGCGGAGAGCCGTTCGTTAAAACAATATTCAAATCGCGAGCGAGAGCTCGTCTACTCCTCCGGCGAGAATGAAGTAACCCGGGTGCGAGAGTAGGAGCCGGACTATGTAGAACATGATCGTTTACTCCGCTGCATCCAATATAGCCGCGGAATGTACAATCTTCACCACGGTCCTTTCGTAACGACTAACCACCAGTGTCTCGAAAACCCGCCTAAACCCCGTGGCTTCCAACAATTCCTATTTCGCTGCAAGCGAAACATTTGCAATAAGAACGCGATAATAAATCTTTCGAAATTCTGTCCGCAAGTATTGTTGTATTTTTATTGACATCGAAGTAAGAAATCGATTGATACTCGCAAACATCAATATCTGATAGTAATCTCTAATCTTTGAAGTTTGTCCGGTTGTTTCTTCAATACTATTTACTTAAGACAGATTTTAAATTAACTTTAATACCTCATGTAAAAAAAACTCAAATTAATTTTTTAACTATTAATTTGCTCAATATTAAATAATTTTTATATTATAAGATATATGTATCAGTTGTCAAATTATTGCGCTACTTAACTTTCTATTTCATACAATTATAATCTTATGGTAATTTATGAACTTGAATAGCTATACACTGAAAAATATATACTACATTTAAATAAATATTACTTGTTTCAAGTATTTTAAAAATACATTCGCAAATCTATCATAAGTTCGTTAAATTTATTAAAAATATATCCTGGATCCTAGCAAGTATAATATTTAAATAGTACAATATTTATAGTATAGTAGTAGTATTATAGTATAATATTTAAATAAAGAATATCAAATTAAACTAAAAAATTGATTTGCTTAACCAAATCTGATTGTTCTTCGATAAAATTTTATAGTATTCTTTAGAAGAAAATAAATTCTTTTTTTGTGTACATGATAATGAATTTTTCTAAAAATGTGTGATAAGTACAGTTTTGTACACCTGGTCTCCTCAGAATTACAAGATGTTTATGAGTTTTCGAATTTTACGAATTAAAAATTTTGAGTTTGTGGAAAATTTATTTTTTAACTGGGGAACTGCACAAAGGTGATGGGTATATTTTAAGATTATTATATTATCGAAAAAAATATTCTTTATAAAGATAATTGTTACTTTAAAAATGGAGTGTAGCTTAAGTTATCTTCTTTTTAGCAACAGAATGACATTTTTCTGTAAATGCATTCTGTTTTGAAATCTTCTGTTTAGTAATTATTTGATAACGGGGGAGGGGGGAGGATACTCGTAGTGTAAATTATTACAACTTATGTATGGGCGTTGAATCAACTCAGAAATGATTGCCATTCATCATGACGCGTACAATATCCGCTGCAACGACGGACCTTCTGTATGCGAGTCGAAGGCTAAATACGGTCGGCCATTGACTGCTATGTGCGAACATGCTTCTGCGTGCACGTGAAAATCACCAGTGTCCAGCAGCCTTGTCAAATAATAATGATCCCTCGTTGACCGAGATGGTGCAAAATAATCGCGCGTACGAAGAAAAAAGCTAAGAGCTTTCAGGGACGACCTTTTGTGAACCGGTGAAATTTCCGTCCGTCGCTTGTCTCACAACTGTTTTATTGCCAATGTAAAATCACATCGAGCGTTTCTTTCGCTTGGTGTTCGTCAACGGAAGTAGTAAAAGACGTGGAAGGACGGACAATTAATGGTAGAAGTAACAGAACTATCTATCGAAAGAGGGATCGATGAAAACTTAGAGCAAAATTATAAATGTTTTTAAATTTCTCTTTGTAAACTTCTTTTGGATTATTTATTTTTTACATTTGCTATTAATTCAGAGAGAAGAAAGGTGTAAGATTTTAGAATATTTGACAACGATTTTTAATGTTAAAAATAAGAGATGATCCGCACTTTTGCGTGGATCACGTCATCTCTCATTCTTAAAATTTATTTTTGAAGTGAAATCTATTTTCAAAGTTTATTTTTCTTTACTTTATTCTTAAAAAGCTGCTTTCGAATGCCAAAAGGTATGCGAAATGACCTGATGCACTTTGCATCTTGGGCCGTAAGAATGGCGTGCTATTTTCCTTTCTATCGATAGGGGGAGGGACTCCCTCAGATTGCCAGCGTCGCTTTGGAACGGTTCTCGATCTCGATCGCGTGTCTCTTCGAGCGGAGGTCGTTGGTACACATACGTGCGCACTTTAACAAAAGCGGATAGATATGTACACGTGAGCATGTTCGCGAGAAACGGGAGAACCTTGACTGCACTTTCGCGGAACTCGCGCTGCATCCCAATCGACCTTTAAAGGACCAACCGACGTTTTCCCAGTAACTTTCGAAAAGTAGTTACAGCTCGCGAGTTCGCATAATACCTGACTGGAATTCTCGACGGCACCGCGAGGATAAAGACATTTTTAATATTTGCACGTTACTTTAAAAACTCACAGTGAAAAGTCCATTCTCTGGTCTGCGACTTTTTCTTACCTCATTTCAAATTTCATTGTCAGGTGTTTAGACTACCGGCTACTATTCAATTACCCTCTAAAATGGTTTCTTATATCCACGAAAGGATCTTGATCATAATAATTATAGGTATGCGAAATGGATAGCATGGAAGCACTTTCTCAGGAAGTGGGTGAGATTGTTTATCTCACACCAGACCTAGAACTAAAAAAATCTAATTGGAGACTTATTCGCTGATAGATAATTAATAAATAATCTTTACGATATTATTGTATACGTTGGTAGCACGTGAAGTTTTTCTGTATCTTACTCTACTTGTTGGATAATGCTTTCAGCGCACAGATTCTGACAGAAATATTGCTATATTTTTATGATATCTTTCGCCAATATCTTTA